TTTTTATATAGCTGAGGTAAATATGTATATATTTATATATATGAGGTAAATATACATATATTTATATATGCGGTAATTATATATTTATATAAATGAGGTATATATTTATATTTACATCTATATGAGGTAAATATACATATTTTTATATATATGAGGTTATATATATTTATATAAGGTAAATATTTATATCTATATAAACAAGATAAATATATGTATATATTTTATATATATGAAGTAAATATACATATATTTATATGAGGTAATTATATATTTACATAAATGAGGTAAATATATGTATTTACATCTGCATGAGGTAATGAAAAATATTTATATATATATATGAGGTAAATATATATATTTATATACGGGAAATATGTATATATATGAGGTGTATATATTTTTTATATGTATGAGGTAAATATATATATTTATATACATGGGGTAAATATATATATATTTATATATGAGGTTAATATATATATGTATAGAAGGTAAATATATGTATATATTTATACATATGAGGTAAATATATATGTTTATATATGAGGTAAATATATTTTTTATATATACAAGCGAATATATATATGAGTTAAATATACATATATTTATATATGAGGTAATAATATATTTATATAAATGAGGTTAATATTTATATTTACATTTATATGAGGTAAATATACATATTTATATGTATATGAGGTTATATATATACATGGTATGTATATATATGAGGTATATATATTTTTATATATTTGAGATAGAGATATATATGGGGTAACTATATATATTTATATATAAGGTAAATGTATACGTATATATACAAGGTAAATATATGTATATATTTTTATATAGTTGAGGTAAATATATATATTTATATATGAGGTAATTATATATTAATATAAATGAGGTAAATATACTTATTTACATCTATATGAGGTAAAGATACATACTTATATAGATGATCTATATGAGGTAAAGATACATACTTATATATATATGATGTAAATATATATTTTTATATATGGCAAATACACATATATATGAGGTATGTATATTTTTTATATATGTGAGGTAAATATATATATTTATGCACATGGGGTAAATATACATATGTTTATATATGAGGTAAATATATATTTATGTATTCATGGTAAATATGTGTATATTTTTATATATATGAGGGAAATATATATATTTATATATGAAGTAATTATATATTTATATAGATGAGATAAAAATATATATTTCATATACGAGGTAAATATATATCTATATATACATGAGATAAATATATGTTTATATATGAGATATATATGAGTCAAATATATATATCTGAGGTAAATATATATTTATATAAATGAGGTAAATATATTTACATCTATGAGGTAAAGGTACATATTTATATATATGAGGTATATATATTTACATATGAGGTAAATATATATGTATTTATCTTTATATAGGAGGTAAATATATACACTTATATAAATGAGGTAAATATACATATTTTTAATATGAGGTAAATCTATATAGCAGATAGTGCAAACTGTTTACGGTAACTGAAGAGGAGCTGAGAGAGAAGTGGCTGCAATACGAACCTAAGTACGCAGGGTCCCCCTGTAGCTACCAAACACTCACATTCCCTCACTAAATTCAATTGCAGCCAAGCGTCTCTCGGGATTGCAGCAAGTGCACATTCGTTTCTTCGTGCAGACAATTGTCTCGGCTCCTTCTAGCCTCGTGGTGGCCTATATTTTAGATTTCAAATTCTATTTAAGTAAGGATTTTAAGAAGGCCGGTTGGCTGCTGCTCTGAGAGCGGTGAAGTATCCGGTGTCATTTAGTGGAGGTCCGGACAGGCGCACCGGACAGCTTGGGGATCTTGGAGCGCAGGTCCTCAGTACAGCCCCGGCCCCACGGGTCCATCCCCCCTCCCCCGCACCGCGAGCGGTCCCTCCCACTGCGCCTGCTTGCTCCTTGCCCACGCCTCCCGCTGCCTCCGCCCCCTCACCAGGGGCCCCCCTGCGTGGTCCCAGCCGGCGTTCGCTTCGCCGCCGCCCCGCCAGCCGCACTTCCCGCCCTCGCCTCGATCCACGCCTCAGTTGCCTCACTAGGACGGCGCTCCGCTCCCGTGGGTCCGCGCTCCTCGCCTCCTTTCCCGCCCTCGCGTTCTGGACTCGGTAGGCTCCACGCCCTGCGGTCGCACCCGCCTCTTGGCCCCTGAGAGCACGCGCTCCCCGCTGACGCGGAGGCGCCGCTGTCCCCGCCGCCGCCACGGACAACATGGGTCCCTCGCGCCGCGGCCGCCGCGGCCGCCGCCGCCGCCGCCGCCGCCGCCGCGCAGCCGATGCCACTGCCACCGCCGCCGATGCCACTGCCGCCGCCGCCGCCGCGGCCGCTCGTCCGCCGCCCACCATGGTCCCGCAGCAAACAGGTAGCAGGAAGCGGAAAGCGCCCGCCGAGAGCTTGTCGTCTCAGGGCTCCGCGGCGGACGCAGAGGGGCCGCTGCTGCCTAAGAAGCAGAAGCG